AAAGTAAAATTGCCTCCTTACTCCCACTCAGTATTTTCCTGTTTATTTGTTCAAGAAGAACATTAGCACTTTTAGTTGCTACGTTGCTCTGGCAGCTCTTGTTTGACTGCATGTCCACCTGGGCACCTAAATCCTACTCCCCTCTCCTATATGTTATACCAATTTTCGTCAGATATCTTTAAGTGATTCCAAAGCACATTGCAAACACGTAATGAAGACCTCAAGCCTTTTGCAAAACGTGGAGCAGAGACCACTTGAAACTGTTCCTCAAGCCCTCAGTTTCCTTCTCGCTGGCCCGCTGCAATAACCCTTGCCCTATATTTTAATACCGAATTCAGCCTGTTTGACACAACCCTGGAATGTCCAGTGTATACAGATTTAGGAACTGGGGGATCTGTGAGGAATGAAGTTTGGGACAGCTGGATAAGGAAGATCTAGAGCTGTGAGCACACAGGAAGAGCTGAAGTCCATTTTAGGTTTCTGCAGCCTGTGCTCAGCTAAGGCTCGTGGTAACAGGGGCAGGGTGTGACCCCTAAATCCCTTCTTCTCTTGGAAAGTAGCAGAAGTGATTTTTTTTTTTAATGCAGGAAGAGACAGAAAATTATCCAAGTTCTATGTGACAAATGTTATAGGGCTGGTGCATGGCTCTGTCTAGCTTTGCAGCAAGAAAAACAAAACAAATCAGCTACTTTGGCTCCCCACTTCACACACAGGTCCTTGCCTTCTCATCATCCCCATGTAACAAAGCCCATCTGCAGTTCTTACTGCCTTTGGACAACCTGTCTAAGACTGGTTCTTTCCGCTTTGCCCAGGCCACCAACACAAGCCCAGCAGCTGCTTCACCCTCGCATACCTCCGCAGCTCTCGTACCACACCAGCATACACCCTCAATGCCATGCTGAAAAATACCATTCTGGACCTCGGTAGGGATCGCCACTTATTTCAAGCACTTTGAACAGAAGAAATATTATTATGGGTGAGGGTGACGGGAACACTACTAAGACAAAACCTGGGACCTAGAGAAGACTGGAGCCCAGGGTAACATACATATCCAGGAGCAGTCTGCTCTTGGGGGGCCACCCAAGCAAATGTGAGCCTTCTAGCATTGCTTGGTGGGGGAGCCTGAAGCAGATGCCTCAAGTCATCGGCTATTTCATTTCGTAGTTTCCAGAGAAAAGGTGCTACGGTGACAAGTAACGATACGCTTTTTTTTCACCCCACATGCCAACTCTGAAGCGTCACGCTGAGAGTTGTTCTGGGGTCAGTCTGGCTTGTTCATCCTCCCTAGTAACCGAGACCCATGGCCAAACTCTTTCTTTGTTCTTTCTCAGCCCATCCCAGGGGCTGTCACTGAAGAGAAACAGGGATAGGTAAGGAAAGCATCTGCCCACCAGTATCAGTCCTATTGAGCAAAGTCCAGCTCACACACCCAGAGCTGTGCTGGCTCAGCAGGACTAAAAGGCAAAATTTAAAAAAAAAAAAAAAAAGAGAAACCTTTATTTTGTTAAGCAGTAGCCACTCCAGCAATCGGTACACTTGGAGAGCAGTTTTGATGAGTAGGGAGGTACTATTCTTACAGTCCTTTTCTATGTCAAATCATAAGACAGAACCTGGCTTTGAGCTCCTCGGCATCTATGGAGTAAGGCAACATGGTACTGTGCCCCCCCACCTCTTGCAGAGGGATAAAAACCTGATTTAGCTCTGCTGCTGGTCCAAGGAGACAAAGCATTTCATTCTTGATGGTTTTGCTGATAAGAAATAATGGGAAACACCTTCCCTAGGAAAGATTGTTTTTTCTATTTTTTTCTTTTTTTTTTTTCCCCTGATACCTTCTAAAAGAGCATTTTCAGCCTCAGATCCAAGAGGAGTCTTTTCACATAGGGCATCTTTTTATGTTCCCTGCAAGACTTCTTATCTGCAGGAACCACCCTAAGCCAGACCCTGGGCTGAGGTGGTGCTGAGAAGGGAGCCAGGCCTCCCGGGAGCCCTCCTACATTGGGCCGCAGGGTTTCAAAGCAGGGTGGCCCTTCGCAGGCTGCCAGCAACAGCGTCAGCAGCCAGCTGACTGTTTCTGCTGGGTCAGCAGCCCCCAACTGGGACATGCTGGTCTAAACCTCCTGTTTTATGATAACTCCAAGCAACACAGCTCTGACGTAGCCGGCAGCAAGTTCTGAGCTAGGCTTTTCAGAAGTGGCGCGACAAACTTCACCCCTGGCAAGAAAAAAGGAAAAAAAAAGGATGCCAACCCCAGCTAAGGCTGAACACTCTTCAACACCAGTTAGCAACAGCTTTTTTATCCATTTAAGTGTCAACACTGGACAATCACAGAAAAGGGCATTTTAGCCAACAAATGCTTCAAAAAGGTATTCACCTACTTCTCCCCACCTTTTGCGTTTTAAACCCGACGTTTCTCTGCATGGCTCACTTCACACTTAGATAAGGATTTATTTTTGTAAATCATGAGATCCAAGCCCACATGGCCCCAAAGGTAGCAGGTCTGGGGTAGCCACCCACGTCAACCCCCAAGGAGCAAGGATGTGAGGTGTCCCAGCACCAAGGCTGGTATGACGGCCCCACTGGGAAGGGTGAGGGGTCCCCACTCCTGGCTGGCCGGAGCAGCCCAAACCCCAGGTGAGTCTTGGACTGACCCCTTTTTGCTAGAAGCCACTCCCCTCTGAGGGCTGTGCTGCAGCATTCATCCTGCAGTCCTCACAACACCCCCAGGGTAAGGAGACGGCCTCAACCCTCTGGGTTGGAAAACCACAGGGCAGATTCTCAGCTTGTGAAAATCAGCATAGCTTCACTGGAGGCCAAGGAGCTATCCCAATTCACCTTAAATGAAAGTCTGGCTCAGAGAGGCGAAGAGGCGTGTTGCAGCCACTCCACAGGTTGACAACAGTGGTGGGCATGGAGTTTGGGCATCCCAACTTCTTGGTCCGAAAGTACTGCCAACATAGCTGGAAATCACATGCGGCGTTGTCTTGCTCCGATCAGCTCTCCTCAGAGATGGCAAAAGGTTTTCCACTCCCCTCAGTAGCCAAAATTCACTATCTTCTCTTTTCAGCAGCAGTGCCTTCGGTTTTTGCTGCTCTTCACCTTTGGCCAGCGGAGGATGCCAGCAGGCACGCGATGGCTCTGCCACCCCGTTGGCTTTACCCAGTTACATCTGCAGTGGGTGACAGGCAAATCTTTGCACGCATGGGGGACCTGGGTGAGAGCCTTTATCTATGGTGCGAAGGCCAAGCAAAACCATGACAGTTCTCACAAGGCATAGGATCAGTTCCCCGGGCTTTCCTCAGAAAAACCTCCCGCGTGCCCATGAGGGGCTTGTATTGGCAGGAGCAGGGCCCTGGTTTTGTGTATCATCAGGAGGCGTCATGAGGGGAGCTGCAGAAAAGCCACAGGCAACGCAGACTGAGCGAGCCAGAGCAGGCACTTCAGCTGGAGGCCCTCCTTGCAGCCATAAGACACGCCGCCCATATCAGGTACATTTCCATAGCTTTTAATGTAGCTTAACAATTGCATTGGAGACAAAGGAGAAGGCACAGTGTATAGGGACAAAAAAAAAATCCCAACATGTTACCCTTTTATTTGTAAAGCTCTGATGAAACAACTGACCAAATGACATCCCACTTAAAAACCAATGGAAACCAACCTAACTATGCGTCAGTCACACTATACAGATTGCATCCTACGTTTCCAAGATGCCTAAATATCTTATGGAGTATTTACATATGTATCAGTTAGGTAGTAAAGTTTCATTGCGATTTGTTTCTTTCCAGCACATACTGATTCAATGGCAAAAAAACCCTGGGGATGCATTTGCATTTTTGTACAATACTTCCGAGCAAACGGCTAGGACAATTTTCCTGAGAGAAGGCTTGTTCTTTGAAACTCTTGCTTCAACAACTGGAAATACAGAAAGTGGATGGGGTTTTGTTGCGCTAAAAAGCCTAAAGATGCCTAGTTAAGTTTTTCTTTTAAATTATTTACGTACCATTAAGTTAAAATGTTTACATTCATTCATTCGTATAAAAACCGTTGTTAAATCTTATGCAAATGATTTAACACTGATTGCTGCAACGCAAATTGCACTTCTTTAAAAAAATTATTGTATATATGGAAGAAAAATATCTGATTGCTACCCTGTTTACAAATTTCGACTGACTCTACACAGTTCAGCCAGAAAATATGAACTTTCATAAACCTCAGTCACAGTGTACTTTAAAAGTGATATTGCAGTCTTGCAAAGTGAGTAAATATTTTAAACAAAAAAAAAAAAAAAAAACCAACCCCAGAATCTCCTTAACAAGCTGGACCTTGTGAGACTTGTACCAAACGTTGTGATTTCTTCCAGGGGTATAGCTGGGCTCTGAAGAGCAGAACAAGGCACGCTGAAGATGGAAGGCACAGGAGGAGAGGACCGACGGGGCAAAGACATCAAATGTTCAGTGCGAGACGTCTGCGCCAACTCAAGCAGTACGCCCTTCAGACACTCATTAAAAAGTATCTCGCTATCTCTAGCAGATTAAAGCCTTTGGTACTCTCTCCCTGACACTGACAACTTCCACCAAATTCTTGGGGGAGAAGGTGATGAAGAGTGAAAACAACTATACAATCAGAAAGGCAGCACTGCTGGGTAAGTCGAGGATGTATTTCTGGAATCTATCAATAGGTCTAGGTTCATCTCTTCTTTTTTTTTTTTTTCTTTTTTTTTCTTTTTTTTTTTTTTTTTTGACAGCATAAGGCCGCGTTAGCTATCCCCTGGTGGGCATTTGCTTTCCCTATATTTTTCTTGCATAGATGAGGAACTGGATGCTTCGGCAGAGCCTCTTTCGGAGGCTGAAAAACATCTCTGCCACCAAGGCACGGAAACAATTTCAGAGGAATGGTCTTTGCCAGCACTCTCGCTGCCGCCACGACCGCTCCACAGAAGAAACCGTGCGCGGATGTCTGGGGGCTGCTGCGCAGCGCCGGGATCCAGCTTCCTTCACGCCGGGTCACGCCAGAGCCAGGGCACACCAGGGATCCTGTCTCACGGACGCCGTCACTTCGGCTGTGGAGGTCAGGCTGACTCCTGTGTACAGCCCGTCTTGACCTGAATACTTAAGGTTGCTGCTTTCGGGACTGGTGCTCTCGCCTGGGCCAGACATCACTGACGAGCTCGCCTGGAGAGGGGGGAAAAGCAAAGAGAGATTTCATTGAGCGGGTGAGCTTTGCACGCACCAGGGTCGTGGGTGGGAGTGCAGCGGGCTCGGGACATGGCTGCTATCCCAGGATTTCTGTGGAAAGCCAGGGTGTCCCCCCAGCTTGGCCCTGTGCCTCAAAATCCTGAAACTGAAAAAAATGTCTCAGCCTCGCTGATGGGAGTGATATCTGCGTTAGGAGATCAGCGTGTGGTTATCTTCACAGCAAGGTGGAAAAGAATGCACGCGATGTGTAGAAAAGCCTGGAAATTGGACCGTGATGAAGGAGGTAACATGCATGTGTCCCACTGCCCCCTACTGAAGGGACACAGATGCCAACACCAAAAATGTGACCCAGGAGCGGTGGCACCTGTAGTTTTGCTTCCCCAATGGGAGAAGCCCGATATGTCCCAATTCTCCAGCAGCAAGCACAGAACATCTCCTGGAAATCGGCCTTCTTTGGCTCCCTCAGGCCCTGAAATGCCTAAAATTGTTCCTCACCCTTCAAAACGCTAGCCACAACCACTTCATCCCCGCAAGACTGGCCATGAAAGGAGATGCTCCTTTCATCTCAGGTGGAGAAACACTATGCCTTTGAACCAGGAGCCTGTTTGTTCCACCACCTACCCGCACAAGACAACGCACAGGGGAGCCCCGGTAGGCACTAAGATGAACCTCTGAGCTCCACTGGAACCAGTCCATTTATTTTAACAGAGAAATGGAGAGTTACAAAGACAAAGAAACAATCATTTTTTCCATGAGGCTGACCAGATCTGCTAAAGAGGAAAAATTCACAGTGCCAGACAGAGAAGGGGCAACATTTTCACCTGATAAAGGAAATGTTTAAGAGCTGACTTCATGCAAAATTAACTCTTGGATATGTCAGCTTTAAAACCTTAATTTACTTGTTAATGGATAGTCTTCAGAAGAGATTCCTTAAAAAGAAAAAAAAAAAAAAAAACCAAACTATCCTAAGCTGTGACTGCAGAAGCTTCCTGCCTGCTGTTTAAGTGAAAAGTATACATATTTAATCATTTAACAAGAGTAGAGCTCTTGGCTCTCCTGGAGCCACGCCAAGCTCGCAGTCCTGACATAGGAAAAGCAAGGCTTCATTTATTCAAAGGTAATTTCCAAACAGTGCTGTGCAGGGTTCTTGTTGCCATGCTTAACCCAGGGAAAACCTCACCTTCTGAAAGAGATACTCATTACCAGCAGTCACTTTTGTCTGAAATAACCTGGACCCCAATATTTTCTTTGGCTTTTATTAAAAAGGTTGATCACTGCTATTCTTCCACCCAGCCATCAACCGGGATCCCACTCCGTCAGTTGCTACCCCGAAACGCAGAGATAGAAGGAACAAGTGCTTGCCCCCCAAAAAACAGCCAATATAGTTCTAATCCCAAGAAATATGTTTTATCGCGCTCTCAAATACGCAATTGCCCACCGGTGGCAACAAATCTCCGTATCCTCGTTCCCTGTGACTATGCACAGAGAATTAAGTGGGGCAGGTTTCATGCTAACCGGTTTTGGTCTTGCATTAGCCTAGGTTTTCAAAAAGGCTCTTTTTAAATTTGTAATAATCAGATAGACTCCTGTTAGCACAAAAGACATTATTTTTAACAGCTTGAGTCTCCCCACAGTGGAAGAAGGGTTTAAATAGAGTTGAGCAGTGTTTGCTCAACCTGAGCTAAAAATACTAGGAGCTGCTTTGAAAGGTTCCCGTTTGCCCATATTTGCCGCTGTTGTTCCGGTAGGCAAATATCTTATCACTAACTGTTTTTTTCCAGGCTTGGAAAGTGTAATTCACCCTTTTCCTGATTCAGCCCTGCAAAGGTGGGGCACAGGGACTTGCAGTTTCCATCTGGGATTATCAGCCACCCCTCCCTTGGGCACCCCAGAAGGGAGGACACGGAGGCACGTCCTGTTTGAAGACTGCCCATCCCTGCCCGATCAAGGCCAGATCCTGGCTCCATTGAGCTGGGGCGGGCAGGACCTGGGCAGGACCACTGGGCCTGGAAACCCCACCCTGGTAATGTCATGACAAATCCAGGCAGCTCGGGCAGCTCCCAAAGTGAGACATGGAAAACAAACTTTAGCTCATGGACGTGGCTGAATCACAGCTCTGCTCCTGAGCCTGCCTACCTCTGCTCTTACTTCTCCAGCTTTAAGGCATGAAAGATGACAGAAGCTACAGTTAAGTTATTAGAGGACATTTGTCAACTGGAATAAATAAGCTGAACAATGTTGCTGAAGTCAACAACAAGCTTTTCTAATTCACAACAGCTGGCTCTATCAATAAAAAGGTAATGGATTTATTTTTATTGCTGAAATCTGATAATAGGATAGGTAATCAACTGAAGCTCAGCTTCCTGAGGAAAAAATGAATGAAGCCCGTTGGGAAGAGCTTGTCTCCCAAACAAACAGAGAAAGGTTACATTTGTATCTGCAAAGGTGGATTAAGGATCCCCTCTTTTTACCCAAACTAGCAAGAACTGGTCATGGGGCAGCCCGCAGGCAGGTTGTCTGGATTGGAGGTGGCATCTCTGTAGAGGACCTGCCCACCATGCTCGCAGGGAGACCTCAGCCAGAGCCACAGAGGGACTTAGACACCTACATCCTACCCAACCCTGCCGTCAGCACCCCAGAGCCAAATTCCCCCCCGATATGCTGGCCCAGCTCTAAACCAGGCTGCTCAGCCTGTGCAGGCCAGCACTTGGGGAACAGCACCAGCATCTCTGGCTGAAGGACTCCTTCTTCCACCTACTCCTTCCTGCATCGTCTGCCCACCACAGAGAGCAGGGAGAGGGGAGGGAAATCCCTCCCACCCCGGCCTCTGCCCACACCTCCACAGCTGAGAGGCAAAAGCTCTGGGCAAGGAGTTGTGCTAAAACTGGAGGGGGTGGCAAGTAGCCTTGATCTAGACCTTTGCTATGTCAGATACACCTTTGCTCCATCCGCTTCACAGGTTCAAAACACACCACAAATTTTGGATGTTACACTAGGTCTGTAGTAAGCTGAATCTCAGCTGATGCTCTCGTCCTCTTCTGTTAGCCTAGTTTAGTTTCACTACACTTAAATGACATCCAAGGCCAGCTGAAACACACTTGCAAGAACTACTTTTACATAGAACGTGTTGTGGCAAACTGCGGTGGAGTCCTTAATTTTCCAGCCTCGGCTTCTCTGTAATAACTGCCATCCCCACCATGAGCACTGTCTCCCAGTACTGCCACTCTCTGGTTTCTCAAGAGCAAGTCTCAGCACTGCAAAACCACAGCTTTTTTTTTTTCTGAATACCACGCAAAGTTGACATCTCTTGCTGGGCCAATTGATCCTTTGTTTATACTGCAGCCATGTAAGTTTACAGATCTTCTAATCTCTCCTTTGTCTTATAGCAACATAAAACTGTGGTTAATACTTCATTAATTTCCTAAAGGAGGCAACTTCCAGCGTGGCTTGGGAAAGCCTCTGCTGTCGAGGGCTGTATGAGTAATTGGCTTTATTGCTCTGACAATAAAACAAAACCAAGCAAAATGTATGCATCCATCTGCATATAGAAGTTTGGGGTAGAACCAAAAATACTCTTTTTCCTTGGTTTTCCCTGCTGAAACAAAAAAGCTGGATTGCCTTGTTCTGTTTGATACAAAATGAAATGCTTTCTTTTGGATACGTGTACACGGAGCAAAGAAAATTAATGACTGATTTTATGAAACTGAATGGGGAGAAGAAAGCAGCATCCTATTTTGTCCGGGAGTGAGGACTAACGCAGAAGAGAGAGGAGACCAAGAGAAGATTTAAACTGGAGTATCAGATCTCCCAGCATAATGCCCTGACTACCAGACTATTTGGTATTTTAGGTTGCCATGTTCCTCATGCCTCCTGTTGATCTTATTCCACCTGGTTTAGATAAATATTTACACATACCAGGACTGAGGCACCGTGTTCCCATTTTCCAGGTGAAAGTCCTAACAACCATGTTGGTGAGCCTTTCTCATGGAAACTCTGTCCCAGCAGCTAGGAAATTATTTTATACCAACTGAAATCTTATAACCAGATAGCCTGAAGGACCCTCAGCCATTCAACTTTTCAACATCCAGGTGGTTAGGAAATTTTTTTTAGGAGGTTGAGTCTCTGGGTTCATCCAGACTCCGTGAGATACGGTACAGAGGCTGATTCTCTGTTGCCTGCATGAACGTCCTACCAATCTGCTGCCTAAAAAGGAGAGAACACCACCACCTCTAACCATTTCATGAACCCTCTTCTAAAAACAAAACAAAGCAAATGCAGGAGAAGCTATTCAGTGAATCCAGCCCAGGCTGACGGGCATTTTGAGGACAGTTAAAGTTGCATCGTCCTGCTACCTCACCTCCTGCCGAGGCCCTTTCCGTCAGCTCTCCCACTTTCCAGCCTACAACACTGAAGAGCCAGTCCTGAACCACTTCTCAAGGGAAACCTCCAAGCGCTAGTCTTAACCTGCAAGACCACGGTCCTAAGTTATTCTGTGGTGTGCAATTATGGTCCTTCTGAGAAAGCTCCAAACTGGAGGCAAAGGGCGCAGTAGAGTCTTCTGACAGAAGAGCTCCCCTGGTGCTGCTGAGCCTCTACTGACATCAGTCCTGGCTCATGGAGCCTCCATGTCCTGCCATAAAAAGCAGATTTTACAGCAGTTTTCATACTGCTTTTTATCCTAATAAGGGAATAAAGCCCTTCTGGTAATCACACCAGTGGAGCCCCTGCATGGAAATGGATGGGTGCGCGCTACAGACGGTGCCCTTCGTTTCAGCAAATTATTCTGTGTAGCTTTTCTCTGCACAGTTTCAGCAGCATCAAAGGGAGAGCAGGTATAGATGCAGATGCAGGCTGTCTGAAACCTTCCAATCTTCTTTTTATGGGGATGGAAGGCAACTTCGTATATCATGCAGCTGGACCTTTTCCATATTAGTAACACAGGACACACAGTACTTAAACTGCTTAGGAAAACAGAAATAGGCCTAAATCCTAGATCCAGATGTGAATTTGGCAAATAGCCCCTTTACAATGGGACAACGAAGTATCTCCGATCCAAACACTTTTACATTTTGGGATGTTTGAAATCAACTTTGCACCCACAGCAATTCATTAATCATATCTTTTAAATGTTTAAACTTCAGCTAGAACATAAAATCAACATTTAAGATTCCTGTTAATTTGTCTCAAAATTGGCATCATGTAAGATTCCCCTCATGAAATGGATAGTCTCAAAGACATTTCCAAGAGTAATTGCTGCCCTTCTCTTTTTCTGCCCTCCCCTCTTTATTTTACTTTAAAAGAGATAAAGAAAGGTAGGGCAAAAAGTGAGTCTTACTGACACAAATGAATTCTGCTGAATTTCATTTCCATTAGATTTCTACATAACTGGGAACTCTTTTGGCAGCCTCCCATAAAAGGCATAATAAATTGCTTTTGTACCAGTAGAGGAATTCATTTTCTCTGTTTCATTTAGCAACAACATTGCTGTGAATTTCAGACAACAGCTTCTAAAACGTCATCAGATTTCTCTGCCTAATGTCAATTTGGCATTTTTCCCCTCTTCACAGAATAAGGGCTGGAGAAGTAAAAACAGAGCAAAACAAAAACAAGTTGCCGTGCCGGTTGTGTAATGCGTGGGGAATTAGCCAGGTTCGCTCTTCCAGCAGGTGCCCCCGTTTCGGCAGCGTCACCAGCACTGCTGGCAGGAATCAACACTGTTCTCATTAATGCAACCAAAGATTAGAGCACCTGGATTCATCCATCTGAGGGTTTTCTCCCTCCCAACACGGCCTGGAGAAGTTTATTCTCCCTGTGCAAAGCCATTGCCTGTTCTAAGAATTTGCCCAACAAACCTTCAGGCTATCAATGGGTCAATTCAAATAAAAAAAAAAAAAATAAAAATCAAGGAAAAGAGAAGTCTAGTAGAGTACCTTTGCTTCGGTGTGTGATTAGATAGATTATAGGCTGCCTTGCTCTAGAATGCTGGTGTCCCTTCACTCCTGACAACCTCAGTGGCCCTTATGAGCTCTCAGCCCCTCCCATGGGATTTAGGCCCATAAGAAATGATTTTGCTTCCTTCGCAGCTAGTGATCGTGTTCCCAAATGATGTCTGGGGCAACGGGAGCCAGTCTGAACAGCCACTGCTTTTTCCTTTCAACCTCCAGTCTCCCCCATCCTCATCCCATTGAATTGCTGATGCTTGAGCAAAGCCCAAGGGAAGGATCTGGCCATACCCATGACATGTCCGGACAACAGCTCCCCTGCAAATCCTGTCCTCATTTACATACATTTGGGGCTGGGGTGCATGGGCGGGAGATCATTAGCCCCACCTGTAAGGTGGGGGAGCGTCAAGGGGATGCCCATAGGTCTGGTCGCCGCTTCAGCACATTTCACAGCCTCCCTCCACCGCTTCCTTTTACTGAAATGTTTTGTGAGAGGTAATCTGCACGTGCTTTGCAATTGCGGTGCACATCTGATGGAATCACGGTGGGGAAAAGGCTGTGCAGATGTTACCGTGCTGCCTGCTGGATACAAGGGGATAGATTTCCCCAGTCCTCATGCACGTGTCCTATCCCAGCCTGATCTAGTACAGAAACATCAGGGAGAACTGAAGTCCTGGCACTGGGGGATACTATCGCGTAATTAAGAGCAGCCTCAGGGTCCCTGGGAGATGCTCTTAGTTGCTAACAGCTCTCAACTAGCCTTTTGGCTCACAAATCATGCCCCCACCCCGCTCTCCTCTGGCACCCACACAACTCCGCCTGGCAGAACGGTATTACGAATGGTACTATTAAAATGATAACGTAAAGATTAGTAATCACAGGTTCGATACGCTCTCCTAGGGAGAAGAGCTATGGGAAGGAAAGCAGGCTGTAGCCAGCCAAGAAAGCAACGGCATAGGGGAAACAGCATCTCGTCTATATGGCCTCTCCTTCCCTGAGCAGCACACAGCCGTGCTGCCTACAGCCTGCGCTGCTGCCTTGGCCTCAGCTGGGACTGTGCATCTAATTCTGTCCGTTACACAAATCCCACGACATTCCTCAGATCGCGAGTCCTGCTTCAGGCAATCAAAGGAAAACTGAAGGAAAATTTGACTGCATTTTCTCCTTCGCAAATACTAGGGGAGAGCCCAAAACAGAGCCTAGCAGTTCACTGGAGGGAGCCTGAAACCCTGTAACAGTTCACTTTTTGGTTAGTGTTTCTCTCTTTTTGATGTGATCTGTTTATTTTATTGGACTGACAGGGTTTTCTCATGTCAAAGACAAGCCCTTTTAGTAATGTCATTGCCTGGCAGCATCCAAACCCAAACCCCAGTGCCTCTGAAACTGGGTGGCCCTGTCAGTCCACGAACAATCGCATTTGCTAAAAATGGTTTTTTGCCTCCCCTTGTACAATGAAACTTTGTGTGTCAGGAATTAAACTATTGAAAGGAATTTGGATGTGGGAACACCGAGACATATTGAAAAATAGTTATTATAAACAATGTCTTCTTTTTATTAATAAAGAGGTAGAGAAATCCACATTAGGAAAGCTTTTCAAAGAAATGATGTGGCAGATTAAAGGCTACAGAAGGCCCGAGGAGCGACTGCAGATACGGATATGTATAGCCGAGGGGTTAGAAATTAATCTACATTAAGCTTCGCAATTGTAGCGGTAGTATTTGTTATCGCACATGCTAACTGAGTGAAGAAAGGAAGTTTGAGACGGTTTGAGTACCTGATGTAAAATAAGGATCGAAACTAAAGCAGGGGATGATCAGCACTCCTCTGGTGCTCCTCTGGAGCTCGGCGCAGCCAGATGCTGAGCATCTGGCCCCTGCGGAGCCCTGTGCGAGGAGAGGGCTGATCCCCCACGTGCTGCAATCAGCAGGGCTCCCCAGCCCCGTTTCAGCTGGGTCTGGATCGGGGTTTAAGGGCACATCTTAGTTCAAAACAAAAGCCTTTATGTTTCCCTCCATGCAGCAGGACAACGGTTTGCTGGGGTTTCCCATTCGTTTGGGATAATGCATATAAATGCATAGCTGTATTAAACAGCTTTTGGAAAACGTGAGAGTATCAGTGCCTTGAATTATAAATTCAGGTCATTTCAGAAAAAAAGGGGCACATGCACAATTGTTTCTTGAAAAGATCATCTGGGCATGATTTATCATCTTTGCTCCAAAAGAAAACCTTTGAAATAGAGGAATCTGAATGTTTCAAAACAAAAAGTCTGGGGCTCGGTCATGGCTAACTTAATCATAAAAATTATATAGATCTCAATTAAGAGGTTTGTAAAGCACTTCAGCTTGTCATTGTGTTTACAGCTATATGTAATATCCACCGAAAATCTCGCTCCAGTATCAGCTAACAAAACTGGCAAGTTTGTTTAGATTATTGTTCTGCTAGATAAGATAAAAGGCGCGATAACATTGCACAGTGACCAGCCCGCTCACAGGCACGGACACCGGCTTATAGCTTACCCCGGAGGCTGCAGTCTGTGTGCTGGGAGAAGCGGTTTTGCTACAGTCATCTGAGTTAGTAGAAGATGTGGATGTTGGAGTCATAGGAACCGCAGTAGTACTGCTGCCTGGAAGATGGGGAACCAGTATTAAAAACAAATATTTTCCAGCCAGGGGGAAAAAAATCTCTTTGCAGATCAATCGTCTTATCTTTTTATATTTACCAGAGCATGCCTTTGACTTATTTATGTTCTTAGGTTTTCGCTTCCTGGTCTGAATTCCTTCTTTCTTCATAGCAAGAGGTCGGGGAACCTGAAAAAATTAAATTTCCACACCGGTCATAGAGTCATGCATATACTCTAAACACCAAAAATCAAAATACACTACAAGATCAGACGATGAGGTTGAAAATGCCTGTTGAAGTCATGTATAGCAAGTCAATTTTTCCTGTGTCACGACAGCAATTCCGAAAAAATCTTTGCATTTTATTTGGGCAAAGCAATGAATTGTTTGAAGGGGAGTTTTATCTGGGTAAAGAAAGCAGGGAAAGTTTTTTCTTGATGTGATCTAGACAGTTTTACCAACACCTCTGTCAGTCCATAGATAAACAGCATGCTTTTAGGGAAAAACAGCATTGTTTGGCCGTAGGTCGTATGAAATTAAATTGGACGGGGTGTATCTGATCCCTGACTCCTTATTCCAGTCGGCCAGTCAGGAAATATCTCCAGTGGCTTCTGGAAAGCAAGAATGCATACGAGAGGAAAAAAACCCCTCCTCTTCCTGTGGACCAGCTACGCAAACCAGATCATCGCCGGTAAGTGTCTTAGGACAGAAGTTTTAGGCCATAATAGGTTTAGCAGTTGTTCTTATAAGCAGTTCTGCTCGTGCTTTATAGTATCCAAATTTATACTTAGAGGGAAAATGTTCTCAAAATCCGCTTTGCGTTCTGTATCATCACTATGATAATCATTATGCAGAAATCATTGGTTTAAAATATATTTTAACACAATGATAACATGAGTTTGCAGAAAGACAATTCAGGCATATGCTTATCACCATTATAATGTTTAAACCTGTGATATGATTGACTTTTTCCATGAGGACTAGACCAAGTCCCAGTCACTCCTAGCGCCCTCGCTCTTCAAACACTTGTGCTTGACTGTAACTTAACCCACGGGGGCATAGAAGGCTCCAAGTCTCACCCAAAACATACTCCAGCACATTCGGGATAGAGCTGTTTCCTTCCTCTATTATTGCCTAGCAAAGGCTGGAATGACATTTAAAGTTTTGCTGGCATAGCTGTGTCTGTCCATGAAAAACTGTCTTATTCAAGGTCTAGGGTTTGGGGGGGTTTTCCCTCCCTAAAGAGCCACTTTAAATCCCAGAGGCAAAAAGACCGCCGCCACTCAGCCAGAGGTGGTTTCTTTGTACAAATCTGTCAGGAGAGCTACAATGGCAAACACGTAACTTGTCAAAAGCATAACTGGCTAAAAGGGTATAACCATTTTCTAATGCCAGGCAATTTTCGGTTATTTTATGCAATTTTTTTTTTTTTTAACTCCATGGTCCAAACCGTGAGCCGAGACTATTAGCATCAACAGAAACATTGCCCCGACCTGAGGAAGAACCCCCGGCGGCAAAGCGGCCGCTTACCCCGTGGAGCTTCATGTAGAGGCCGCAGGCGTTGCAAACGGGCTCGCCCTCCGCGTTCCTGCGCCACAGGGTGGTGGTCGTGGTGTGGCAGTTGGCACAGGACAAGCCCAGCCGCCGGGACGAGGGCTAGAGGCAAGCATAGGCAAACACAGGCGTAAACAACGGCGGGAGCAAATGATTTATGTCTTTACGGTTCATAAAAAGTACTTTAAGACACAGCGGGAACGGTAGGAGGGTTTTTTTATAGCGTCTATCGGCGACACCCCAGAATTAAAACAAGATTATCCTCATTTCAGAGACTGGAAGCGAAGAGGTACCGCGAGTCTGCAACTCCGGGAAGTTGTGGCGGAAGCAAAATTGACATTTTGGGAGCTGCTGACCCAGGGACCTCTGTTCAGGCCTCCGGGCACTGGCTTTTCCTCCAGCGGGACAGCTAGGAAACATCCCCACTGCACCTCCATCCAGCTGAGGAGAAGGCACATCACTCCTGTGCCACCTCTCCAGCTGGCCCAACGCCCTCTCCCCTGCTCGGTGGGCAAAGAGGCTGCTCTGAACCTGCCACCGATACTCCTGACCCATCAGAAAAAATGTCCACTTTAATCACCTTCCCTCGGGTGGCACCACAGCTGGGGAAAACAAACTTTACCGGGCGCCGGTGGGTAACACATACAACAGCGGCATCTGATAAAAAGATCTTTTTATCATCGCCCATTTTATTCTTGCGCAAAAAACCAAGGTGACTCGGGAGCCTGTTTTACAGAATGGAGCTTCCTCTCGGCCGGCAGAAAAGCTGGTGGGTGACAACAAGGTCCCCACTGCAAACAAGCCATTTATGACACTCTTCCGTGGAGTTTGGAGCCAAGATGAAGCAACCTTGTATCAGAACTAACCGTATAACCCGGAGCTTTATGGCTGCAGGCTGTATATCATAAGTGAAGGCAGTCCTCATAAACATGTGAAATGAAGGTGAATGGGTTATAAAAGTCCCTGTAACAAGTGATCTCTTTTACGTTCATCACAAGCAAAGAATTCCAGCTACATCATAAATCTAGTCTTTTTCAAAGTATCGCATTGTCAAAAAAAAAAATATTAAAAAACCTGTGCCTAGCTCTGTGTCTGGCAGCTGAACAAGTTTACATGGAGAAGTCAGTTTTAGAGGATTGCATTAATCTTATTCTGACTGTAAAGCGCCCATAACCGAAATCACTAACTTAAGGGTACAATGCCCTTCCTCTTGAATCATTTACTGCTGGGTTGTTAGACATAACTCGGTCACCTTTGATACCGCAGGGCTGCCTGCCACTTGGGAAACGGATAAAAATGTTTTGAGAATGAAGAATATTCCAGAGTAATAACCGAGTTTCTTGAATTTGATCTGTTCGGGTTTCTTTAGCGCTAAGCTGTTGTCTTACACTGCAGCTCAGAAAGAACTCCAGACTAAATCCGAATTTTGTAACTTTGCATCAGAAATCCATTATTAATTGCACAGAAAAAAAAAACCAAAAAATAAACCAAAAAAACCCCAGCCAAGTGTAATACAGGCTGAAGTAGACACATATACTTTTTAATCTTAAAAATCCATGTCTCATGAAAACAGAATTTTTGGCCTTGTTATTAAATACGTATGCGCACAGCATCCAAATTTTGTTCCTCGATTCAATACGAGTTTTACATGGATCAGGTAAAAAAAGCCGGTCTTAACACATATGCTTCATTTTCTCTCTTTGCAAGTGAAATGCTGTCAGATGTTTCACTCTGTTAAATCTTTCTCTCTTTTGTATGCAGTCTGGTATAAATCTTCATATATGTTATTTCAAAAGCTTTTGCTCATTCCTGTATCTAAACAAATGGGG